GAGAGATGGAGGGAGAGAGGGGGGGAGGGAGGGAGGGAGGGAGAGGGACCGATATGTAAAATAAAAATAAAAAAAAAAAAGAATTTCAAAATTTCAAGAAATCCATAGGGAGAAGCCCAGTAGGAAAGACTCTTTGATGTTTTTTGCTTCAGTTCCTACCACCAGGTTTCTGTATTAAATTCCTGTTTTGGCTTCCCTTGATGATGAATTGTAAGCAATAAATCAAATAAATCCTCCTGTCCTTGGGGGAGGGAGAAGAAAAAAAGAAAACATCTCCATCAAATTGGCCTATAGGGAAGCTTGTAGAGCATTTTGTTGACTAAGGATTGATGTGAGAGAGTTCAGCCAACTGTGGGTGGTACCATCCTGGACAGGTGTGCTTGAGTGACATAAGAACGCAGGCTGAGCAAGCCAGTAAGTAGCAGCATCCAATGGTCTCTGTTTGGCTCCTGCCTGTCTGACTCTCCTTCATGATGGACTACAAGTTATAAGCTGAAACAGACCATTTCATCCTCATGGTAGAAAACAAACCAGGACAAGCAGGTATGGAGTTAGGATTGGATCTGGGAGGAGTTAAGGTAGGGGACAAAAGAATTTTTAAAAAGACAATAAAATGTAAAAACAGGTTAAAAAAAACCTCAAGTATACATTCATCAAAGAAAGATACAAAATGGGCAACAAACACATAAAGAAGATCAACATCATTTCAAAAATCTGATCAAAGCTACAATGAAATGACATTTCATTAAGATAGTTTTTATTTAAAAAAAAAAAAAAAAGAGATGAGAGGACGGAAAGGCAGAGAGAGTAGGATGTCTTAGTGAGTATATGGAGATGAGTATATTTATTTTTTACCTCCTTTCCTTTGGATGTCAGTGTGTGTTAAAAGCCCTGAAATTGGAGTTAGTGACAGTTGTGAGCTGCCATGTGGGTGCTGAGAACTGAAGCTGGGTCCTCTGAAAGAGCAGTCAGTGCTCTTAAAACCACCGAGCCTTCTCCCCAGCCACCCCCCTTTCCTTTGGAGATAAATTTTCTCTATATTCCATGCAGCCTTCAGATCCCCTGGCCTTCATGTAGTTAGTGTTTGGATTACAGATGTCTACCCCTACAGCAGGTGAAAACTTCAAATGGCTGTGTACTGTTGGCAGAAATTTAAAACTGTATGGCTAAATTGTAAAACACAGTATTTTTAAATGTAAATACATAATATCACATGGCTCACCAAATCTATTTGGAAATCTATCTATGAGAAATAAAATGGGTCTACAGAAAAGCTTTTACGTAGGGGGCTGTATAGATGGTTTTTAGGTTTTGACTACTATGAATAATGCTGCCATACAAGCATTTATGTGGAAAAGTTTTTTTATTTTTAAATGTATGGGTGTTTTCCCTCTATGGAGTCTGAACCACATGCTTCAGTGGAGTTATAGATTGTGGTTAGCCAACATGTGGGTACTAGGAATGGAATACTGGTCCTCTGCAAGAGCAACAAATGCTCTTAACCACTGACTGAACAGTTGCATCTACTTTTATTTCATAGGTGTGTGTGTTACAAACTCTACATTAGAAACCATATAGTGAAAGCCTACTCACTTGAGAGATTGAGACACAAAACTGGAATTCAAGATCATCCTTGGCTACATAGTGAGAATTAGCATACTAATAATTAGTATGCTAATCCACTTTCTATATTGGCAAGATTCATAAACCACACAGTCTTATGATGACAACAAACCAATCTAGAAAACACTAATGATTAGAACTTCAGGTACCCAAGGCACCAGTAGCACTGTCCTTAAATCCTAGATCAAATACTCGAAAGTTCATTTTCCTACACAATCCAACCAAGTATCACAGGATGAGGCCAGTCTCTTGCTGCCCTAGAACAGAATTAATCTGGATACAGGTTGTTACACCCTGCCACATGGGGACTTTATATTCCATTACACTTTCCATTCTACCCTGTGGGTAGCCCTCAGCAAGTAAGAACCTCATTCATGCAAGAGAAATGTTTAGTCTCACTGCCTACAACCACATATAGATTACAAAAAACGTACACAGATACCATATTCGCCACAACTGAGTAACTGAATGTTATTTTTCTGAGTTTTGAGGTTTCTACCTAGTCTTCCAACAACCTTCCACAAATATATTCTTATTTTTCATGTCATGGCAAGATTATAAAGTATAGGTGATGCCAAACATAAGCATCAGTTCATCTGACTTGCAAAAAGCTTTGCATTTTTTTCTCTTCATTCAACAAGTAAAACAGGCACCAGTAAAGGAGACAGATGATGGCTTTTAAGATGTACTGTGATTACTCCAGTGTCTGTGCTAGGAGTGTGTTCAGTATCTGGCAGTGGAAGATTTAGCAGGACACTCCTAGTCACCACCTTATTTGTATGTCTTTCTTTAAAGCAAAACTAAAACACAAAACAATATCAGTATCCAATCTAGACCTGTCGTTGATAATTGTATTTAAAATGCCCAGAGTGGAGCACAAAGAATCTATAAATCCAATGAATTATTCTCTCACTCTAGACCTCAAAGGAATTTTTAAGCATTTCAGATATTTTTCAGATGGAACACTTGAAGATCAATCAGAACCAACACAAAAGTTCTCCCTATATATTCTCCCTGCAGTTAATATAGGCACCACCAGAACAGGACTGTTCAGTTCACACATTTCAATGAGCAGCATGTACACTTTCAAATTATAATCTGTTGCTTGGAGGGCTATTCAAAAGCACCAGAAAAATAACATTTAAAAATTGTGCCCAATACTCTAACATAAACTCCTCAGGTGATGAGGTTTCTATAGCCATTTGAAAAAAACAACAACAAAAAAAAAATCCAGATAAACCAGGAAGGCCTAAATCTGAAGACATGTTTTTCCTTGGCTCCTCTGAGCAAAGTAATTTGAATCATAGGTATGGCCTTTGCTGATAAAGCCACCCACATAGCACCCCTCAGCCACAGGAGACTACCTAAAATAGTTACTGTGCTAGAGAGATGGCTTAGCAGGCCAAGTGACTGTTGAATCTGTGTTCAATCACGGGACCAATGTAACAGTAAGAGAGAACTGACTCCCACAAATTGTCCTCTGACTTCCATACACATGCTACAGCATGTACAGCCCCCACACAGAAACACATTCACACACATAAATGAATAATGAACTAAAAATTTAACTTCTAGTTTCTTAGTTACATTAGCAACATTTCTGGTATACAATAATTACTGCATTGGATAATGCTCATCTCACTACAGGACATCCTATTAGTATCACAAACACAGTTTCAGACAGCAGTCTCTCAATGTCAAATTGCCATCATATATCAGTTTTTGTGTGTGTGTGTTTTTTTTTTTTTTTTAGGAATTGATATTGTAATGGTTACTTTTAGGTATAGTAATCACATGCCATTGCTTTCCAGAACCCTACAAATATTTCTTAAATTTGTATTACTTTCTATAACATAAGCCAGTAAAGAAAAATAGTAAATGCAACAATTTCAGGTAGGGTAGAGCCTAATGGCGGCATAATAAATATACCATGTTTTTTAATTTATTCCTCAGCCCATGAACACTTTTACTATATAAATGAGATAAATTATTCATTATATATATCACATTGTAATTCTTCTCTCAACTTAACTACATCTGAAATTAACTAAAACCCAAGCAGCTAGGTACACCTGCAAGGGAGTTTTCTAAAGCTGGTCCTGATGATGTTGAGTGTGGGTGAGAGGGGTGAGAGGACCCTTGAGCAGAACTGGCCCTGCTCCTTGCTACAGGCTGCATTTCATGAGCTAGCCAACACAGTGCTGGAGAGTTTGCCTCGGTAGTGACCATGAGGGAAAGCTGGTGGACTGACCAACCCAGCTACCACCCAGGCCCAGAACCAGAGCTATGAGCTGATCTACCCCAACATCCACCAAATCTATGGACTGTTCGAGCATATGAAGGGGACAAATCTACAGATCCAAAATGGCAGGATCTCCATGGCACAGGACAACAGGATATCCAAGAGGATCCCTAGCCCATTATTGGTGATGTAGCTGAAACTAGAGGCCCCCAGCCAGTCCAATGACAATAAACATTTGCAAGTAAAAATAAATAGACTAAAGGGTAAACTGTGTAACTCAGTGGGCCACACTACAGCTTCTCCTACTTTTGTTGTTTGGTTTTTTGTTTTTCTTTTAAATTTGGTTTAGATTTTGGAGGAAGCTGCAAGGGCAGATGCAAAGTAACAAGGAGATAAGTGGGATCAAAATGCATGATGTGAAATCCACAAAAAAAAAAAAAAAAAAAAAAAAAAATCAGTAAGAGTGAAAAAAATTACCAAGAATTACAAGTGGAATTCACACATTCATATATGGTCATTATACTTGCAGTGGCTCATGTTCACTGTCAACATGACTGGAGTCGGGGTACATAAGGCACATGTCTCTGAGTATGTCTACTGGGGTATTTTCAGTGAGATTTAACTAAAGAATAAAGATACTTCTTGAATATGAAAAAAAATCATTTGAAATCTGAAGACTCACTTTTAATCTGGCCCACACCTTATGCTGGTATCCTATGTAAAAGACATGGAAAAAGGGAAGCATGCGTCTGCTTGCCCTCAATCTCCCTGGCAAGTTCATTCCTTCAATGACATCATATCCTACTTCAGGATTCCAGCATCTACTTAAGATCAGATGAGACATTGAGCCCCATGGACTGCTGGATTATTGAACTTTCCAGTAGTAGACAGCCACTGTTGAACTAGCTGGATCATAGCTTTAAGCTGCTCTAATAAATTCCATATTCATTCTATCAGTTATGTTCCTCTAGAGAATTATGACTAATACACACATGTACCAAATTTTGATGCAAGAAAAAGATATACAAAGCAGCCTCTGTATATAGTGAACAGTTCCTAGAATTCTTCTGAGCAGAGCTTCCTTTCTTGGGAAGTCTGTGTGCTTCCCTTTGCTGTGTCTATGTTTGCTACTCACCATGCTCCAGATGAATCTGCATGCCCCACTGTGTGCCCTTGCTGGCTCCTGGCACCGTCTCTACTAAGAAGGGAGTAAACCCTCTGCACTACTACTTGGACCCCGACTCCAGACCATGGGCTAGCCCTTTGGATTTCCACAATGTCCAGAAGAGAATTCCTCAGGGGAGCACCAAATGGATGTTGCTCTGCCTTGTCATGCCCATGGGTCCAGCCTGTGCCAGTGGTCGCCAGGCCACTACATGCAACCTGTCCAAGACATGCAAAAGGAACAGTTTCAGTTTGGCTTATACTGTCATCATTAGGTTACTGCCAAAGCAATGGCAGTATAGGAAAGAAACATACAAACATGTAGCATTGGCATCTAGCCTGCTGAAGAGTGGAGGTGGGTAAGGGCAACACAGCAAAATTAATTCTGTTAACTAACAAGTAGACAGTTCTACTACTGATTACTTCATGGGAATAGTTTCCCTTTTCAGTTTGTTCAGCAAGAATGAATACAGTTCAATTTAAATGAGTCATTTTATCAAGTGCTTGATTATGTAATCTGCTAATTAAAGCACTTTGCACACTCGTGTATTCTCCCAACAACTATATGATTATAAGCCAATGATACTTTTGAAATACTTGTTAGGGGATGGAGAGATGACTTAGAGGGTAAGAGCACTGACTGTTCTTCCAGAGGACCTGGGTTCAATCCCCAGCATCCACATTATGGCTCACTGTCTGTAACTATAGTTCTAAGGGACACCACATGCAGGCAAAACACCAATGCACATAAAATAAAACTAAATAAAATAAGAAATACTTATTCTCGTAGATAAAATTGATACACAGAGAAATGCCTAATGTAACCTAGCATAAAGCTGCTGAGGCAGTAGGTGAAACAAGGCACATACTTTCAAAATCCTATTTTATTTTTCTTTAGTATCAGTGGTAACTGTTTGCATACATGTATGCAGGCATCTTGGAGGACAGAAGGCAGCATTGGATCTCTTAGAGCTACAGCCATTTATGGGAACTGAACTGGGGTCCTCTGGAAGCAAGGATACTTGTGTGTGTGTGTGTGTGTGTGTGTGGTGGGGAAAGAGATAGGGTGTTGTGAGACAGGGGAACTTGCTCTGTAGAATAGGCTGGTTTTGAACTTAGAGATCTACCTGCCTCTGACTCCCAAGTGCAAGATTAAAGGCATGCACTACCATGTGGCACCAAGAATACTCTTAATGCTGAGCCCTCTCTCCAGCCTCAAAATTTGTATTCCTCACCAGTATGCTACATGTTTACTGTTATCTTTTTAAAAAAAAATTTCAATAGTTTCACGTGGCATAAACTGTTTAAACGTATACTTTTACAAATATAAATTTTTAATTTTTAATTTAATATTCCCCTACCCGTGTGTATGTGCATGCATGTTTATGTGTATTACATGGCATGTGTGTGGAGGTCATAGGGCAGTTTTAGTACCAAATTTTACCTTCTAGATACTTCTTCTGATAATCAATTCAGTATGTTTATTATATGGTTCAAAGCAGGATGAAGGTTTGCCTACTTACTGATTTTCCCTACTTCCATCTTTTAATCTCAGTATTGTGTTCTGAACTGGTTATCCAGGGAATTTGAGCCCACCGTACTAGATACAGATTCCCAGAGCTGAGTCTTCCTAGACTCATATCTGGCTCACCAACAGTGAATTGCTATGAAACTCCAACTTCATTTTGGAATAGCTCAGAGCCCCAACCCCAAGCTCCATTAAGTGAATCTTTATCGTATAATTTCCAACATATTTATAAAGCTTTATCTCAAGGGATACAGACATTATGAAAACAGAAAACATAATAAAAAGACTTGAAATTCTTAATTTCAAGATGAAAATAAAGAAAATACTCCCCAAGTCCTGAGCATGCTATCCATAACACCATGGAACTGAAAATTTTCATGTTTTAATAAACTGAAATAAAGTTTACAGCTACATAATGAATGATGGAAAATTATCAAGAGATCACCACTAAATACTCTTGAGCTTTCATATTTTTTGGCATAATAATGATAACAACACACTCTAGCATATGTACTTGGGGATAGGAGATTAATATTCTCACTTTCAAATCCAGATATCAATACTACTACAAGTGTAAGAATCATAAGTCAATGAGAATTTACCTGACTTCTGGATGAACTGCTTGTTATGTCTTCAATTCTAAACATCTGAGCCAAACTTATATTTCTTCTTGGAAGAGGTGTGTCCTGACAGTATACTTCATGCACTGTTTCTTTTGCAACAGCCTTCTGACAAAAATAAGTATTCAGAATAATAGAGCAACTTCCATTTGGGATAAGAAGTTTTTGCCTAAAAAAGAAAAAGAAATTCATCCATTTACTTACAACTTGGGTTATCATTGTATATTTGTGAAACAAGGAATGCTACAGTTAAAATCAAGACAGCACATAAATTACAGCACTGCTAATGATGAGTGGCTCATTATATTAGATAGATGAGACCACATCAGTCTAGGAAGAGAGAGCCAGCAAGGACCATGCCAGTCAGCAGAAAGAATGGCCCATAACAACTAAGTTGGACTCAATGACAAAACCTTACTTTTTTCAGTGCAAGTCTTACGCTAAAGTCCTTAGGCTTGAGCCCTCTCAGAGAGACTCAGTCCTCTCAGGAAGAAATACAGATAAAAATGAGAAAAGACTGCAAGTATCAAAGATGCACACAAACACTGAATTGGTTGCTATTTACAATAAAATCTTTATGTTTTAAAGGGGTCTAACTTTTCAAAGAATATAATATTAAATGATGAAGGACCCTTAGTACAAGCTAATCACAATCATTAACATTATTGGTACAGAAAGAGACAAGCTGAAAATATATTAAACAAAATTCTAAGGTTCTTCTCAGTACTCTAATGTGATACGTCACTTTAAATCAAAATGTGCTGCTAATAAGAAAAACTTAAAAGTTCAGGTTTTAGAAAGAAAAAATTGACAAATGTTATCTTGTTCCTCTCATTAAACAACACTGATGGTAAGGAGAAGGCAGAACACCAACCAGGAAATGGGGAGGGAGGAAGGGAAGAAGGAAGAGAGAGGGAGGGAGGGAGGAAGGGAGAGGAAGGGAGGGAGGGAGAGAGAGAGAGAGAGAGAGAGAGAGAGAGAGAGAGAGAGAGAGAGAGAAAGAGACAGTCAGTCAGCCTTAGGATCCCACAAAGAATACAATAGCAAGGGCAGCATTGAATCATCTCCCAGACCTTCATTTCTGGACTCCTACAGTTTAGGATCCCCTTACCTAGGGAATGTTACTATCTGCTGTGGCTGGAATTTCCCACATCCATTAACTGTGACAATCCCCATAGACACACCTACAGACCAATTCAAATAGATAATTCTTCATTGACACTCTCTTGCCAGGTGATTCTCTGTGGTGCCAAGAGGACACACTATGCTATCACTGGCCCCAGCAAAAGCCTACTTCTCTAAACTAAGAACAAAAGAAAAGGCAACTTTAGCAAGCCAGCAGTCTCATTATAATAACTTGTATTGACAATCTCTTTGAACTACAAAAAGGAAACTCAATTAATGAAAGACAACTAAAGTAAATTGTAAGAAGGAAATCAAGATTTTTTTTTCCTCTTTCTACATTTTTCTTAAATATGGTGCCAAAAGTCCTAGTCAATAATGCAAGGTGCAAGAAGAAAAGAATAATCACAAATACTAGCAGAAAAGAAGCAGTAAAATAGGACTTTCCCCACATACAAGTTTTGAGATAGGGCTCATGCAGTGCACACTGGCTTCAAACTCTATATGGTTGTGGATGATCTTGAACTTATGATCTTTAGGCCACTATTTTTGCAAGTACATATATACATTGTCAATAAACACCTGGTTACAACAGTTATAACTACAGTAATAAGCTGTGCATGGTGATGTATACCTAAAATTCTAGCACTCATTAAGCTGAAACAAGAGGACTACAAGATTTAGGGCAGCACAGATCACACAAAAAGATCCTGGAGATTGAGGGAGAGAGGGTGGAAGGGAGAGGAAAGAGAAAACACAAAATAAGAAAAAATTATACAGAAAACAAAGGAACTAGAATAATTTGAAAAAGAATAGCATGGAGAAAACCATTTCTGCACATAGGTGGAGGTATGAGATTGATGCTATGTGTATGTATGAACAGATATACCAGTGAATTAATACACACTGATTTGTGCAAATACACTAAAGTATGAAAAGCATATAAGTGAAAAAAATTATCTAAGTCCATTTGGTTGATTTGATTTGACTCATTTCCTTTTTAAGGAAAAATATAATGTGGCTTTTAAGTACAAAGTAGAAGCACTCCCTACCAGCAAGCCTGCAGTTCCCACACTTGCCTAGGATCCAGAGGGCAACTCAACCAAAAAAGAAAAGAAAAGAAAAAAAAAATAAAAAGGGACACCTACCCCCAAAGACAGGATCAGATATTTATATAAAGAAACACTTTAAATTTTATAAACCCTGAGTTCTAGAGCCCAGCACAAAAACACAAACAGCAAGACAGCACCCCACTGCCAGAATGTAGTAACCCTATCATGGTAGTCCATATAGGTGAAGCACAAGACAAGGACTTCAGAAAAGCAATTATATTTCCTAGGACCTTAAAGAGGATATGAATAAATCCTTTAATGAAGAAAATAATGTTGAATAAAATAATGTAAACAGTTCAAGACATGAAAGTAAAAATAGAATCACTTAAGAAAACCAAAACTGAAATAAGCCTTGAATGAAAAGTTTAAGGTGTCAAACACAAGCCTTACAGGTAAGGCTCAACAACAGATTACAAAAGTGGATCGCTAGTGCTGAAGACAACTCTAGACATTGATGTACCAACCACAAGGGCACCCAAGTCTGTACGTAAAAGAAACACAACTGCAGCTACAATCACTATTAACCCCCATACAGTGACAGTGGGCGACTTCTCTCTTGCCGATAAACAGGTTACCAGACAAAAATAGACAGAGAAATGTTAGATTAAATAACATTATAAATCAAATGGACCTAGCAGATATCTATAGAACATTTCACCCCAAAACACAAACATACACTATCTTTTCGGCAGCTCATGGATCTTTGCCCAAAACTGACCACATATTAGGAAACAAAGCAGTCTTGACAGACAGAAAATTGAAATAGCACTCTGCACCTGACCACCATAGAGTAATGCTGGAATCAACAGAAAGTATGAAAGACTGATGGAAACTCAACAAATGACTTGAAACTGAACAAACAAACAAACGAAACAAAACAAACAAAAAAAAAACCAGTCAAGACAGAAACCAAAAAGGAAATTTAAACTTATTGAAGAATTGAAAACACAACATATCCAAACCTAAGGGACACTTTGATCAATGGAATCGAATTGAGGACCCAGAAGTAAATTCTCCTGGTTTTTGACAAAGAAGCCAAAACATAGAGACTGGTAAAAAGACAGCATCTTCAACAAACAGTGCTGATCAAATTGGATGGTTGCATATAGAAGATGAAAATAGATCCACATCTATCACCCTGAACAAAACTGAAGTCCAAATGAATTCAGGGCCTGAGCATAAGAACGGATACACTGAAGGTAAAAGAAGGGAAAGTGGGTACACTTTAACTCACTGGCACAGGAACTCCTGAACTGGACACCATTATCACAGGCACTAAGACCAACACCCAATAAGTGGGACCTCATGAAGCCGATAAACTTCTGTATGGCAAAGGACACCACCATTCAGGCAAAGCGGCAGGCTACAGAATGGAAAGATATCTTTACCAATTATTCATTTGATAGAGGGTTAGTATTTAAAATAGATAAAAAACTAAGATAAAAAACCTGAACATCAAGAAATAACTTAATGTTTGATGTTTTACTCTTTTGGCCTTTTGGAGGGTACCTGCCATCCAACACCAAAATAAAGCACCCACAGAGGCTTATTCTTAGTTATCAGTGCCTAGCCTTAGCTTTTCTTAACTGAAATGATCCCATCTGTCTTTTGCATCTGGGCTTTTCCCTTTTCTTACTTAGGTATATCTTATTTTCACTCTTACTCCCTGGTTGGCTGGCTGGGTGAGTGGCTGGCCCCTGAGGTCCTCCTCTCCTTGTTCTCTTGCTCCTCCATCCTTGTTTCTCTTTCTATTTGTACTATCTGCCTGCCAGCTCCTCCTATTCTTGCTCCTGCCTTGCTATTGACCTTTCAGCTCTTTATAAGGACCATCAGGTGTTTTACACAGGAAAAGAATCACAGCTTCACAGAATTAAACGAATGCAGCACAAACAAAAGTCATACACCTTAAAATATTTCCCAACAATAACTGAATTTAAAATTGGGGTGCAGAACTAAACAGGCAGTTTTCAAAAATCAATGTTCAACATTCTTAACCATCAGGGAAGCAGAAATTAAAACTACTTTGACATTTCACATTACTCCAGTCAGAATGGCCAAGAGCAATAAAACAAATGACTGAACATGCTGGCAAGATTCTAGAGAAAGTGAAACACTCATTCATTGCTGGTAGAAATTCAAACTGGTATAGCCACTATGGAAATCAATGTGGCTGTGGCTCAAAAAGATGAAAATACATCTACCTGAAAATTCAGGTACATTAACTCTTGGACATATGCCCAAAGGTCTCTATATCCTATTCCAACATACACATAGAAGAGTCTGGTTTATCTCACTCAGGTTGATTTCTTTCTTGTCCCATCCATTAACCTGAATATTTCATTTTTAACAACAGAAATGCTTTTAAATGGTGTGTAAATGCACCATATTTCATTGCCCATTCATCAGTTGATTGACAGCTAGTCTGTTTCAGTTTCCTGTGATTATCAGTAGAGCAGCAGTGAACAAGGGTGAGCTACATAATAGCTTTTAAGCTTTTGATATGTGCTACAATGTATATAAAGACAGAGATTAGGCACCTAGTAAGGAACTACACAGGAGGAGAGGATCTCACAAGGAAGGAGAACTAGAATATATTGTTAGGGAGAGACTAGAGTGGAAGGGTTAAATGTGGAAGGGAATGGAAGAGAGGGATAAGGTAATGTAAACAAAATATCATTGTTCTGCTAAAGGAAAATGGTATGAAAAGGACCCCTAATAACATCCCACTATCTCCATAGATGAGTGTCTTGCTCAGTCATCATCAGAGAACTGTCTTCTTGCAGTGGATGGGAACTAACACAGAGATCCACAAGTGGACAATGTGCAGAGAAGGAGGCTCAGTCCCCTCCCATTAGTGCTCATGGACCTATGCAGAAGAATTGGTAGAAAGTCTATAAAACTCAGAGGAAATTGTCTTTAGATACAAAAGAACTCA